TACATTATTCGGACTGTTATCCTCTTCTTCGTTGCCATATTCACAACGTTTCGGCCTTTGTAAGCTCCGACTTTCTTTAGGTGATAGGAATTTCGAACCGAATCCTTTATTTCGTCCCCCGGTGTAGATTGTTCTAGTTCCACGTACCACGCCTCTTCCGGATGTCTCAGTTATTTTCCTTTAACCCTACTCTTCAAGTTTCTTTGGTTCACCACTGCTGTAGCCTGGTATTGATGTCATAATTCTTTGGGTCTAGTCACTGGATCTAACCAACGTCTTTATCCACTGAGCCATGTGTCCTTGTGACTTCTAGAAGAGGCGTGACGGGTGGATCTAGAACAATCTACGCCGGTGGACGACATAAAGGTTTCGATTCGGAATTCCAATCACCGGAAGAGGCCGCAGAGTACAACGGCCGAAACGTTGTGAATATGGCAATGAAGATGAGGAAAACAGTCTGAATCATGTAAATAATGTAAGTAGTGAAAGTGTTTACAAAGAGGAGTCATATCACTGAATTTTTCTATGCATAAAAAATACGCCCATAGGAATTTAGGAGCTCTTGCTCAACGTTTACTGAAAGGAAAGAGTGAACACTGTTAGACGGTGGGTAATGCTAATCATCTGTAGCGATAGACGTGAAAAGCTACGTCCACCCAGGAAATCACCCCGGGCGAAAATGTATAGCCAATAGTAGAGACTACTTCGAAAAAAAACTGCATTTTATAGCTGAAAAAACTGTTCTATTCAATGACGTTTTGTGTTTTGCATTTACTGTAATTTCCGTGGTTACAATAAGGATCACTTTCCAGCCTTGATAGAGTGGCGGGTCTCTCACGACACTATCACTACTTCCATGAAAAGTTCTCAGACAAACTACATTCCTTGGTTCCTCAAGTTTTAACTTTCACGTCTAGGACCTGCCATGCCACTTACATAATAGCAAACCACCCCCATTCGCTCTCTATTCCAATTTTAGTCAAGTGACAGTGAAATCTGTGATTGTAAACGGAGTATTTACTGTAGCCCATTCCAATTGACCAAGATAAAAACATCTACATGTTTACACTTCTAATCATGATCAGATAAAAGTCATACCCAGTTTAGCATCAGGATGTGTTTTTATTATTGTCGGTGTCTTACATTAATGTAGTGAACAGAAGTTGTTCAGTTATGGAGTCAACAAAATTCCCATCAACTCAAGAGATCAGGCCGAAAATGGAGTACTGTTGCCATATTTAGGCGGGAGCTGCCCAGTCCTTACTTTCTAGTCATGATAGATTTCAAAAGCATCTATAATAAAATAAAATAATTCTTCTCCATTCAAGGACTCAGAGAAGAATTATTTTCCATCCTCCAATCCCTTTCTCAGAGGCAGGATTTGGCAAGTCTCTTGCTGTTTTATCGCTACTTCCATGGAGAATGCTAGGACGAACTACACTCCTTGGTTCCTCAAGGTCTAACCTTCAAGAGGAGGACCTACCATGTCACTTACATAGTAGCAAGCCACCCACATTCCCTTTTTATCCCAATTTTAGTCAAGTGACAGTGAAATCTGTGCTTGTAAACGGAGTATTTACTGTAGCCCATTCCAATTGGCCAAGATAAAAACATCTACATATTTACACCTTTAATCCTGATCAGTTAAGAGTCATACCTAGTTTAGTTAATTGGTCCAAGTTATTGGAACACCCTTTATTTTCTACCCTCCAAACTCTCTCTCTCTCTCTCTCACGGGCACGATGTGCCGAGTCTCTCACCACTCTATCACTACTTCCATGAAAAGTTCTCGGACGAACTACATTCCTTGGTTCCGGCTAGAACCCGCTATGCCGCTCGCATAGTAGCAAACCACCTTTATTCCCCACGTATCCATCGGCGGGAAGTTCAGCTCGTACAGCTTCTTCCCGTGAACCACTTCCCTGTGGAACAAACTCCCAAGAGGATGCTTCCCCGTTCGCTATAAACTTAACATTTTCATTTTTTTTAAACGTTTTACCCCAGGCAAGGCGGGAAGCCAATAGGACGCAAGGGGTTACAGAAGATTTGGAGCAAGGTCAGATAGGAGTGATAGAAGAAAGAATGAGGAGAAGGGTAGTGGATAGATCAAGGCAACTGGAGATGCCGATTGACATTATATTTGAATAACTGGAGATTATAGCTCTCAGGGAAACTGGAATAGGGAAGGGAGTTCCACAGGCGAGAGGTGTGAGTTATGAAGCTATTGGAGTAGAAGAGACGGCTATATTTAGGAGTTTCGACAGTGAAAGGGTGAGAGCGGGATGCCAGCCTCGTGGGGCGCTTGAATTCATGAAGTCTGGGAACCAGCGAATGCAACTCCTCGGAGCAATTGCCATGACAGTATTTGTAAAAAAGACAGAGAGAGGCGACTGTAGACGAGATGCCAGAACAGGGCCAATTATATTGCATATCTGCCTCAGGAGCTTATCAAGAACCCCGAGGCAAACAGAAGGGGCTCCAGACCATATATGGAAGCAATATTCCATGCAAGGGCGAATTGTTGATTTGTAGATCTGGAGGATCGATTCCGAGGAGAAAATTTCCTGGCGCGGCACAGGGAGCCAACTTTCCTTGCGGTGGACGAAGCAATTGACTCAATGTATTTGTTCCATCTCAGGTCAGCAGTCAACGTGAGACCGAGCAGCCGCAGAGAGGTGCTCTCGAGAAGTTGAGCGTCAGACATTCTAATGGAGGGCAGGGAAGGATCTCTGTGGTGATTAATAGAGCAGTTTTGTTTTTTGAGGCATTAAAGTTAACCAGCCAATTCCTGCCCCAGTTCACAACTAATTGGAGGTTCTTTTCGAGAGATTTGGCCAGGTTAGTTTTGTCAGCGACACTGGATTTGTTTTTGAGGCAGGAGTAAATTGTGGTGTCGTCCGCGTAGATGCCAACTTGGGAATTTATGGCGTCAGGAAGGTCATTTATGTAGATAAGGAATAGAGTGGGGCCTAGGATGGAGCCTTGAGGAACACCTGCGTTCGTGGGATAGGAACAACCCTTACCTCACAGTCGGTGAGGGGTGTAAACGGTAGTGTCAGAGCTATGCCGCCCGGAACTTCGTTCCTGGTAGGGCCACCCAAGGCGGACAGGTCTGACACACACGCCGGCTAACAAGGGCTCTGGTGAAAATCCAAGGAGCGTCTGCATCGGTAACCGGCGGCTTCTGATCGTTCCTGTCTCTGCGTCTGTGGGAACCCCGCGGCAAGCAAGAACGTTATCCGAGTAGGCCTGGGTACCCTACTTCTGTAATTTATCCCAAGAATCTTCTTCTCATAACAGGAAGAAGCCGGCTCAATCCGCTCAGGGTGAATGCCGCATCAGTACAGTAGTACAGTACAGTGGGATAGGAACCGGGGGAGAATCCGTTGAGAACGACCTTCAATTCACGGTTTGACATTAGGTCAAACAATCAACCCGTAATGCCATAACCCTGTAGCTTGCGAAGAAGGCCGGCATGCCAAACCCTATCAAATGCTATGGAGATGTCTAGGGCCACGGCACAAGCTTCCCCGTTATTTTGAAGGGCTTGGTAGACAGTTTCAGCGATGGCCGTAAGCACATCAGCTGTAGATTGGGCAAAGCAGAAGCCATTGTCTGAGAGAAGATCATGGGATGTAACGTGGTTAACCACTTCGGTAATGATTAGGGCTTCGAAGACTTTGCCGGAGAGGGGTAAGAGACTGATAAGACGGTAATTAGAAGGGTCAGAGAGGTCGTCAGAGTTCTTAAACACATGACCAATCGAAGAGGACTTCCAGCAGTCAGGAAAACAAGATTTATAAAGTTAACAATTATCTTCCCCGGCTATCTATATAAACACATTAACGTAACTCTCTAATTCGAGTGTATAAGACGCCACATATGTTTGTAGTTTTTTATTTGTAACTTGATTTATCTTTCAATTAGCAATATCAGGTTATCGAAGATATTTACAAAACCAGAAGGTCAAAAGGTTTGTTCCATGAAAGAGAAATATATTAGTTTGGAAGAAAGCCGTGTCGCATTTTAAACATGAGCAATTTGACGGTACTTTTTTCAATACCTTCAGTAAAATGAAGAGATGGCACGATGGAGTGTGGATAGCGGCTCGGATTCAGGAATCGGAGAGCCGAGTTCGAATTCCACTCGAATCCGTTACATTCACTTACGTGATAATCCCAATGGAAAAGGTATGAAATCTCTTCTTCCCCCAGCTATGGGTAAATAGCAGGACAGACTGGGTTCTATAGCCTTGAATGGCAACCGGACCACCACAGAAAAAATGGCAACCTACTGCGGAAAAAATCTGCCTCGTTTGTCATCTATCGAAAGATACATGATCGCCTAAGCATGTATCATGCATGGCACATAATTGACTGACTGAAAGAGTAAAAAGTTGCATAGAGCAACAAAAGACTGGAAGTTGTGGAGAGCCATGATCGCTCACTTTTTGAAAGGACATGGCATATAAAACATACATGATCGCCTAAGCATGTATCATGCATGGCCCATAATTGACTGACTGAAAGAGTACAAAGTTGCATAGAGCTTTGTTTATTTAAATGATTAACGTTTTATCTGGTCACTACCCATTGATTCCAGTCGAATCCATTACATTCACTTACGTACTAATACCCTTGGGAAAGGTATGAATATTCTTCTTCTTCCAGCTTTGGGTAAATAGCAGGACAGACTAGGTTCTATAGCCTTGGATGGCAAATTGTCTACTGCAGAGATGGCATCCTTCGGCGGGAAAAAAATCTGCCTCGTCAGTCATTTATCGAAAGATACATGATCGCCTAAGTTTCCGAAATGGATTCTTTTTCTTTTCTTTTTTATTAAAGGCCTAAAAACTGGTGCTTTATCCTAGAGTGCAAAAACGTTTAACAAATGTCCCAAAGTCACAAAGGAATGTTGGAATTATGACATATTTGGGAAGGCTATAAGAGAATTACATGTCCTACCAGGATTCCTTGTTGACAACAGCGCACAGTCACAAACGCGTTGAAACACCGGTTCCCGTACGATTATCGAAGTTAAGCAACGTCGAGCCTGGTCAGTACCTAGATGGGTGACCACTCGAGAATACCAGGTGCTGTAAGCTTGGATACGCGGATGTTGCAATCAATAATGTCTCGAAATTGTTAATCTGAGAGCTGAGTTCCAATTCCAGTTGGGTTCGTTGTATTCATTTACACTCAAATACCCTTGAGAAATGTATGGATCCCCCTATTCTTTCTTCAGCTATAGATTAACTAGTAAGACTTGTATAACTAAACCATTATTATCTCAATTCTTACAGTCTAAAATATTTTCTGGCTTTAAATAACCTGCAATGGATCAATATGCCGTAGAAAACGAATCAAGCCATCAGTTGTTGGCGGCCACAATCTTAACAACATAAAATATGTATATGACAGTGTTGATAGCACAGAAAGGAAAATACAAGAGTTCATACAGAAGATAGTAAAAGAAAGCAAGAAGAAAGGACTAAATGTCAATTGGGAGAAGATAGAATGTATGGTTGTCATTTCTGACAATCATATATTCAATCAAGAGACAAACCAACATGCAAATTATAAATTGGAGATACCAAAATCAAGCAAGTACAACAGTTTAATTATCTGAGAAGTATTTTAACAAAGGACAGAATGTGTGACACTGAAATCCGAAGGTACATTAAAATAGCGAAAAAAATAGCGAAAGATGCCTTCCAAAAGCTAAGCAAAGTATTAAGAAACAGAAAAAAAAATCATTGGAAACAAAGAAAAGAGTACTGGACTGTTATATAATATCGGTCCACTGGACAATCTGGTTACAAATGAAGAACAGACCTGAATAGAAATCTGCTTCTACAGAAGGATGCTGACAATTCCATGGACCGAATATGTGAGCATTGGCGCGATTTTAGAGAAAATGAAAACAAAAAGTACACTTATACTTATCAAGAGAAAAAGATAGTTGATATTTCTATGTCATATAATAAGGAAAGAAGGCTTGGAAAATTTGATACTCACAGGACAGATTGGCGGCAAGAGTGACAGAAGAAAACAGCAGAAAACCCCTAACAAGCTTGCGTAAATGGATGGTAAAACAGGGATTAGGAGAGATAGTAAAAAGACAAAATCTAATATGAGCTACAAAAAAATGGGAAAGTGTGGAGGGTCATGATCACCAACATCCAGAAAGCTTCTCCATTATATCTCCCGAATGATTTAGATCTTTAATGGATCTACTACGTACACTTTTTTAAAACCACGACGCGGATACACTATTTACATTATTCGGACTATGGTCCTCATCTTTGTCACCATATTTATTACAACGTTTCGGCCGTTGTACGCTCCGGCCTTCTTCAGGTGGTTGGAATGTCCAACTGGGTAGACTGTTATCGTTCCACGTGCCATGTTTAATGGATGTCAGTTGTCAGCTATTCCCCTCTCCAAATTCTCCACTGCCTTAACCGGGTACTGAACAAACACTTTTTGAGTCCTGTCACTGGATCTAACTAGCTTTGTCCACTGTGCCATGTGTCTTTTTTGTGTATGAATTTCTGGGTATTATAAACCTAATGTCTTCAGCAACAATTTTTACCAGAGTTCATAATGCATTTTTTGTTGTTGTTATCGCTTTTTTTCATGACGCGGATATAACCAATGTTACCTCGCCGACACCATGTCTTATATATATATATATATATATATATATATATATATATATATATATATATATATATATATATATATATTAAATGGGGAAGACTAGAGTTATTCCCTGTCACATAAGGCACCAGAAAGAGGAAATTCTGAAGGAATTGAATTTTGGGGAATTGGTTATGTTATGGGTTCACACTTTATACTTTGAGCCATATTCTATTTGAGTGGGTGAACAGATAAATACACTCAAACTCTGTAACAAACCACACTGACTCCCTTCGTATTTCATCGATGAGAACAGACTCCCAAGAGAATGCTTCCCCGATCACTACAACCATGTCAAGAGTTAACCGTTATTTTCCTCTTCTACCAGTACAAACTGCCTCCTAACGTCTACCTCGAGTGCCTCCTCGGCCCTTTTACAGTGTGAACACCTCACTATAAAAAATAACCCAAATTTTGAAGCCTTGTGTCAGACTTAACTAGTTTAGCAAAAAAAATAAAAATAAAAACTAAAGTAGAAATCACCTTCTGAGCGGCGGCATGCCACCTACTGCTATGGTAGATATTTGAAAATGATTTGGCAGTGAGCAGGGAGGGTGTTGCCCTCTGTTGTGCGTCAACGATATGAGAATTATGTCAGTTTAGAATGCGGTTGTAACCTTTCGTAGTTGGTTCCACTTTTGCATATTATTTTTTTTTTACGTACGGGTGGGTGGCGGTTACCTCATTGCTGTCATGTTTGGCTCGAGAAAAACGCATCTGAAGTGTCACTGGCGGCCAGTGTTTTGTGAAAACAATGTCGACATTCTCAAGATGGAGAATGTTGAAACAAGAGGATGGAATTCATGAAATAATTCCATCATACAGGCTCTTTTCTCTTCTTTCTTCATATATTATATCCTTATAATGTTCTTATATACTTATATTCTTATGTTATTATGTTCTGATATATTCTTATATTCTTATATCCTTATATTCTTATATTCTTTTATCCTTATATTCTTACGTTCTTATATCCATATATTTTGTTCTTATATTCTTATATTCTATGTTATCCTTATATTATTATTCTATTCTTATATTCTTATGTTCTATTCTTATATCCTTATATTCTTATATTTTTATATCTTATATAATGTTCTTATATCCTTATATTCTTAATGTTCTGATATATTCTTATGTTCTTATATCCTTCTATTATATTCTTATGTTCTTATATCCTTATATTCTTATGTTCTTATATCCTTATATTCTTATATCCTTATATTCTTATATTTTTTATATTCTTATATTCTTATGTTCTTATATCCTTATATTCTTACGTTCTTATATCCATATATTTTTGTACTTATATTCTTATATGCTTATTCTTATATCCATCTATTCTTATATTCTTATATTCTTATGTTCTTATATCCTTATATTCTTATATCCATATATTCTTATGTTTTTACATTCTTCTGATCTTTTCTTATATTCATGTTTTTATATTCATATGTTCTTAAATTCTTATATCATTCTTATATTTTTATGTTCTCATATTCTTATGTTCTTATATTCTTATGTTCATTTATTCTTATGTTCTCATATTCTTATTTTCTTATATTCTTATGTTCTTATATACTCATATTCTTAAGTTCTTATATTCTTATGTTCTCGCTGCTTTTCAAAGATAGAAGTAAGACTTTTGCACTCGAGTTTCTCGTTGTATTTGTTCAAGACAAAGGAGTGTCAATTAACTTAAGTAAATGTACTTCAAGGGAGGAAATGAATGCTTGTTATGATCGCCATTGTTTGACTACCTATGAAAGATTTCTAAGGGAGGTAATTAGGTCAACATTCCAACGTAACTGTCAAATAATAATAATAACAACAGAGGATAAATATCTTTATCATGCGAGAGAAACTACAGAAAGCTTTCAAATAGGATATTGGCGATTATAACATTGGCTATGTGGCTTCAGTAGATGGTTATGGATCTCCACAACTTCCTATCATTCATAGTTCTTAGTAATAAGAAATTTTTGTGTTACTTTAAAGTCAATATAAATTAAAATTTTTAAAAAATATTATATTTTTCAGTTATTTTAAAATTTGTATTTTTAACTGTTCCCTCTTCATCCGAACACAAATCCCAATACGGGTTATTCGAGCATCAGATGAAGGGCAGATTCTCAATCCTGGGACCATCCTGATTCCAAAAAGGTATAATATGTCTATGTAGAGCAACTGTGGCCCGAATTAGAGGGGTTTCAAAAACACGGACTGACAGACAGAATTTGTCGTTTATTTATTTAAAATATAGACCGATACATCTCTAAATGCTTTCTCTTTCTATCTGTATGCACAAACGGTTTTAGAGAACACGTCCAAATTATCGCAGATATAATGGCTGCATCTCTACACCCTTGTGCAAATTAATTGAAACAAAACGAATAATTCCGTTATTATTTTTTTTTTCATGAAACATGGCCCATTGCACATTTTAGCACTTTGTATCTTCATTCCACGAAATCGTTCCTTGCAGATTGACTACAGATTCTCGATTGAATTTAAATCAGGGAAGTTTCCGGGCCAATCTGTTTTACTTGGATTTGCCCACTGGTAAGGCTTACCAGTTTGTTTGTGCAGCGTTACAATTTTCGTACGCTTCCTTGGGGTAGCATACATCTCAGACAATGGCCGTCGGACAACTAATCGACAGTCGAGAAAATAGTGTCTTGGCGTGATAAAGATCTGATGCAATTACGGATGAAGCAATACTTTTCAAGGCCAAACAAATTCCATAATACAGCCCGAAAATAGATTCATATCACTGCACACCACTGCAAATGACCTAATCTGAAGAAAAAATAGAAATTGGTTACACACTGTCACTGAAATGGGTCTAAAACTGACCGTATGGTGAAAGAAAGGAAAGTAAAGCGGTTGTTTCATTAATTTGCACAATGGTGTAAATCATAGCGAGCGAAATCTGAATAGTGAGAATTTTTGTAAGGATTTTTATCCGATTTTTGTTAATATTAGAAACGTTATTTTTAGTGGCTATGCGTGTTATTGCTATTCTTGTTAGTTGGTTTGTTTTTCTTAAAATGTGAAATTAGTAACAACCGGTCTAGATTGAGACGTTTTCTGCCTCTGACAGGAATCGATACTATAACCCTGTTTTACCTCCGGGAAACTACTTCTTCAGCCGAAGCCTGATTCTACTAGTTCGGCTACGGCAAAGTCAGAATAAGCTGTAAAGGAAGACATTTTTTCTAGTTGGGGATTCTAAGAATCTATATCTGCTAGCTTCTATTTCGTATGCCGTAACGTAGACAACAGTCATTTTTGAAAGGATTTTTATACAAAATTATTTCTTTTTTTTTTTAAGCCTTTCACCCCAAGCAAGGCGGGAAGCCACTAGAACGCAAGGGGTTACAGAGAATTGGAGCGAGAGCAAAGAGGAGTGATAGAGGAAAGGATGAAGAGAAGGATAGGGGATAGATCAAGGTACCTGGAGACATCGATTGACATTACATTTGAATAGTTGGAGATTATAGCTATCAGGGAAACAAGAAAAGGGGAGGGAGTGCCACAAGCGAGAGGTGCGAGACATGAAGCTATTGAAGTAGAAGAGACGGCTGAATTTTACAGTTTCGGGTGAGAGCGAGATGCCTGCCTAATAGAACGCTTAAATTCATGCAGTCTGGGAACCAGCGAAAGCAGCTCATAGGAGCAGTTACAGTGAAAGTATTTGTAAAAATTACAAAAGGAGGTGACGGTACGTCTGTTAGAGAGCGACTGCAGACGAGATGCCAGATCATGGCGAATTACATTGCATATCCGTCTCTGGATTTTATCAAGGACCTTGAGACAAACAGAAGGGGCTCCAGAATATATATGGCAGCAATGATAAATATTATTTTTAGTTTTGTTGTCCCTAATTTGATTTGATTTTTATTATACATTGAAATGAGTAAAGAACTATTCAATTTAGTCCCCGGCTGTCATTAATTTCAAAAAGAGACGGCTGACAACTGAAACACGGATTTCCAATAAAAATAACATTACCAACGATAGTGATAAGAAAAAAATTGTGTTTGTTCAGCACTCACAGAGCCTGTGGTTTATAGTGAAATGAGGCTGAACGGGCGTTATCTCAAATTTCACATTATCTGGTATGATCACCAGTCTGACGATGGCCAGTACGCTTAAAGCCTCGGTCACGATGACTTATGACTTCGTGCTAGCACAACCATACACGCCACCCACTGCCAAAAAGTTTCGTCTCACCATTTTCAGTTACAAGGGTTGGGTTAACACGTGGATATAGTTTTCATGAACTTTCCAAATGTGTCGCACCCTATGATCGCCTCCCTAGGCAGATGACATCAAAAAGGTACCTTCCCGACAAATTGACCATGGTGAGAAATCTCGCCATAGATATACATACATATGTCTATGTATGAAAGTAAATAGAACGTTGATGGTCTGTTCGCCTTCTGTGCTCGAGCGGTCGAAGGTACGCTTGGTCAACTGGTGTCTTCTCATACAAAGGGAACTTTGTAAATGTTCTTTTCTTAAAAGGGAAAAAAGAACCTAATCTATCTATTAATCTACCTATCTATTCACTCTCTCATTCCCTTTCTTTTATATATATATATATATATATATATATATATATATATATATATATATATATATATATATATAAATAAAAAGAAAGAACAGTAGGATATATAATCCGGTGTTCTTATCGATATTTTATTTTTACAAAATAGTGCTCAATGTAAATTTACAGAGCATAATATTATAAATTAATTGATTTAAAATATGGTTTTACACAGTTTTAACCATGTTTCAAAAATAGCTAAAAAGCCCCGAATTTAATTTTGCAATAAAATTAAAAGCATTAGTTCCATTTCATCCTCAAGCGAATTTTGGAGTAACTTTTAAAAAAAATACGTGATTTTAGCTGTGTCTTTAAAACCAAGTAATTTTTAAAAGTTACTCCAAAATTCGCTTGAGGATGAAATGGAACTAATGCTTTTAATTTAATTGCAAAATTAAATTCGGGGCTTTTTAGCTTCTATTTTTGAAACATGGTTAGAACTATGTAGTGGAAAAAAAACATATTTTAAATCAATTAATTTATAATATATCTATTCATCTATATATATATATATATATATATATATATATATATATATTTGAAATAATTTAAATTGCTGGTTGTTTGTTTACATCAGTGATTCTCAACGTGGTCCAGGTGGTCCACATAGCATTTCTAGTGGTCCACAGAAAATTCGTAGCCATAAAAAACTAAAACTTATGTTTGGTGAATATATTTGGCATATTAACACATAATTTAATATAAGATCATAAAATATTATTTCAAAATCATTATTCTATTAACGCTAACTTCATTTACCGATAGGCCTAATGTTTGTGTCACTAGCAGCCAACTGGATGTTCGGGGTCGATTTATATGGTAGGTTAGAATTGTAATAAAATAGTATCACAAAATCATTATTCTATTAACGCTAACTTTATTTACCAATAGGTCTATTGATTGTGTCACCAGCAGCCTACTGGATGTTCGGGTGTCGATTTATATGGTAGGTTAGAATTGTAATAAAATAGTATCTCAAAATCATTATTCTATTAACGCTACATCACACATCGCGTCCAACTTCTGACACATTAACTGAGAACCCGGTTGTTGGTGGTGGCTACCTTGTTGTTCAATCCATTGTAATATGGACTCATTTAAAAGATCAGAGTCTAACCTGATTGTCTAACGGACCGACGGTTTTGCAGTTTGTCACTTGGTGGCCTTGATGGTTGTTTGTTTACAACATAGAATGCAAATGGCGGATGTGTTATAGTGTTTTTTTGTTGTGGTGTCTTCCCTCTAATGAGGCTATTGTGAACTCTTCCACTTACTATAAAGTAGTAGGAAAGTAAGCCTCGTGGGGAATCAGTGATAGACTGAACGCTGGTCAACCGACACACCCTCCCAAGTCGTGTAACACACTTCTGTTGTATTTACCGTTCAATGCATTATTCATCTGCAACCTCTTGCTTTGTTATTCTTTAACCAATTACTTGATCACAACAGTTTTACAACATCATACGATACGTAGCAGTACTATCAAAAAACTACCTGGTGTGATGTGTAATCTAGGGTATTAATATTTTAGAAGAGTTGACTATGTGTTTATCAGTAGCCCTGACGAATTTTAAATGCTCACTAAGTTATACCGATGCAATAAACGGCATCTACCGGTATATAATGCATATAGAACTATATTACGTTTAGTATCTCAATATAACTAAAGTGACCTTATATAGTTTTAGAAGGTGTTATCATATACTGTGGCTTAACTTCATTTACCGATAGGCCTAATGTTTGTGTCACTAGTAGCCTACTGGATGTCCGGGGGTCGATTTATACGGTAGGTTAGAAAATTGTAAATCTCGAAGTCCACTTGTACGTCAGGTCAATTTATACGCCACAATTTACCGTATGTAAAATATTCAAGTAAATCTCTAAAAGGTTTTTTTTTCATGCATTTATTTGATGAATCTCATATGAACATTTTTCAATTATCTTAAAAAGGTTTTACCACAGAATTCTTTCGGCGAAAAATGACCGTGGAACTATTTTCGGGTTTTCTCTTTTAAAAAAGCATGTTCGGCACAATTCTAACCATGAAACCTTTGCCTTTCCAACATATTAAGGGGGATTTAATAGCGCGTCATTATAGACCAGCTCATATAAAGACCATATCCTTATATCTTAGCTAACAAAAATGTGGTCAAAACTTCGGGCAAGGTGGGTCATTTTGAGATACTATAAAAAACTTCGACAGTAGTTTCCAGGCAAGGCGCTAGTTTCTAATACCGAAATTATCCGACTTTCCAAAAATATAGAAGACCTTTCATGTCATTAAAGGAGGCACCTATTCAAAAAGTATGGCTTGCGTTTGCAGCGCTAAATAGCCCGGATGTATATTAATCATAGGAGACATGTGGATCATGGCGCTTTTAGTGTCTCTATGTTTGAGTCAATTAGACACATTTATTATTAACACAGCACTTGCCTGGTAAAAATTCTAATCAGCGAGAGAAGCGAAGGAGTTGTTAAATTTAAGGCCCTTTTATATTCTTGTATTCTTTTCGAAGATTATGGTGGAAAAAAACATGGTTAAAAGTCAAAAAGAGTTGAAGAAGAAATAAAGAAAATGTTGAAAAAAAAACCCAAAGAAATGAAGAGAAAAAAGATGGAAAAAAAGAACAAGAAAAACATAAGAAAAAAGCAGATAAAGAAACCGAAAGAAAAGCAAATAAATAGAAAATGATGATCAAGAAAACTAGAGAAAAGGGAAAGGAAAAAAAGGAAGAAGAGAAAAAGAGGAAGAAAAAGAAAGAGAAGAAAATGATGAAGATCAAGAAAAGTAGAAAAGAAAAAGGAAGAAGAGAAAAAGAAGAAAAGGAAGAAAATGAAGTTCAAGAAAAGAGAAAGGAAGAAATGGAAGAAGAGAAAAAGAGGAAGAACAAAGAATCAGAGGAAAATGAAGAAGATCAAGAAAACTAGAAAAGGGAAAGGAAGAAAAGAAAGAAGAGAAAAAGAGGAAGAAAAAAGAAAGAGAAGAAAATGAAGAAGAAACAGGAAAAGTAGAAAAGAGAAAGGAAGGAAAAGGATGAAAGGAAAATGTGGTAGAAAAAAAGAAACATTCAGGTGATGAAATCTAGGAAAGAAAAAGGCAGAGAAAAAATAATAACAGAAAAAATGAAAATCACGAAAAGTAGAAAAGAGTAAGAAATAAAAGGAGAAGACGAAAAAAAAAAGAAAGAGAAGAAAATGAAGAAGATCAAGAAAAGTAGAAAAGAGAAAGGAAGAAGAGAAAAAGAGGAAGAAAAAAAAGAGAAGCAAATGAAGAAAAGAGTAAGAAATAAAAGGAGAAGAAGGAGGGGAAAAGACGAAAATATAGATCACAAAAGTAAGAATAATTCGAAGACAAAGAAGAAGAGAATGAAAATATGAGAGTAAAACAGACAAATATAACAGAGATGAAGAGAACGAAGCGTAAATAATAATAAAAAAAAACGCGATGTTGCAGAGAAGTGGAATAAAAGACAAACAGAAAATTGCAATTCGACTGAAGAGAAAACTGATAAAGAAGCGAAAATGAAAAAGCCATAAAATTCATGAAGTGAACAAACAAGAAACTTGGCAAATTTAATTACGTTTCTAAAATCATTTTTCACTGAATATTTCTCGCCATATCATTTCAATTATTGCACGTGTTGGATGACGTATCTTTCTTTGGAAAATTTTCATACGGATGCTGACATCGGCCTGTTAATTTATTTCCACGCAAATAAAAGGTGCTGATGTCATGCACCGCTATTGAAATGACACAAAAATATAAAGAACAGTGACAATTAAGTGACAGTTAAGTTTCTTTAAGCAGAAAACCTATCTGAAATCAAACTAGAAAACAGACACTGTTCAATGCGCCAGACGAGAAAATCTAAATCAGTAAACCTATGCAGCATAGAACGAGAAAATATTCCTAGCCTGAAGTGACATAGGACTTTACAGTGACAACAGTATCACACACAATGAAGTAACCTCCAGATGGCTGCGTTTTCCAAATAGTTTGCACTGTATTGGCCGGGAACTAAGGTTAGTGAACCTAGTTTAACCTCTTAAGTTTAATCTCGCTGTAAAACGAAACAGACTAATTGCAAGCTGGAAGCTCGCCTATTTCGCTTTCTTTGATAATCTTTACGCTATCATAACAAATATATATATATATATATATATATATATATATATATAGTCTTAAGTCATGCTATATTTATGGGATAAAGTGCTCAATATCAGAGATAGAGCGTGTGTAAATATGAAAGTGAACATAGAAGTTAACACTTAGATATGTTTATAATGCAATCGTTATATGCGATTCATATATATGAAACAGACTGTCGCCTCTAAGTGTTGTATTTATGTTCACTTTTATATATATATATATATATATATATATATTTATATATATAACATCGTTAACTGTTTCAATAACACCAGCACTTTTATGTATTTATATATATATATATTTATATATATATATATATATATATATTTTAAGCGTTTCACCCCAAGCAAGGCGGGAAGCCCCTAGGACGCAAGGGGTTACAGAAGATTTAGAGCAAGATCAGATAAGAGTGATAGAGGAAAGGATGAGGAAAAGGATAGTGGATAGATCAAGGCAACTGGAGATGTCGATTAACATTACATATGAATAGCTGGAGATTATAGCTCTCAGGGAAACTGGAATAGGGAAAAGAGTTCAACAGGCGAGAGGTGCGAGACATGAAGCTATTGGAGTAGAAGAGACGGCTATAATTTAGTTTCGACAGTGAAAGGGTGAGAGCGTGATGCAAGCCTCGTAGGGCGCTTGAACTCATGAAGTCTGGGAACCAGCGAATGCAGCTCCTCTGAGCAATTGCCATGAAAATATTTGTAAAAAAGACAGAGAGAGGCGACGGCACGTCTGTGAGAGAGCGACTGTAGACGAGATGCCAGAACAGGGCCAATTATATTGCATATCTGCCTCAGGAGCTGATCAAGATCCTCGAGGCAAACAAAAGGGGCTCCAGACCATATATGGCAGCAATACTCCATGCAAGGGCGAATTGTTGATTTGCAGTTCTGGAGGATCGATTCCGGGGAGAAAAATTTCCTGGCGCGGCACAGGGAGCCGACTTTCCTTGCGGTGGACGAAGCAATTGACTCAATGTATTTGTTCCATCTCAGGTCAGCAGTCAACGTGAGACCGAGCAGCCGCAGAGAGGTGCTCTCAAGAAGTTGAGTGTCAGACATACTAATGGAGGGCAGTTAAGCATCTCTGTGGTGATTAATAGAGAGCAGTTTTGTTTTTGAGGCATTAAAGTTGACCAGCCAATTCCTGCCCCAGTTCACAACCAATTGGAGGTTCTTTTCGAGACGTACGGCCAGGTTAGTTTTGTCAGCGATACTAGATTTGTTTTTGAGGCAGGAGTAAATTGTGGCGTCATCCGCGTAGATGCCAACTTGGGAATTTATGGCGTCAGGAAGGTCATTTATGTAGATAAGGAATAGAGTGGGGCCTAGGATGGAGCCTTGAGGAACACCTGCGTTCTTGGGATAGGAAATGGAGGAAAATCCGTTGAGAACGACTTTCAATTCACGGTTTGACAGGAATGATTGTATTAGGTCAAACAATCGACCCGTAATGCCATAACCCTGGAGCTTGCGAAGAAGGCCGGCATGCCAAACCCTATCAAACGTTTTGGAGATGTCTAGGGTCATGGCAAGAGCTTCCCCGTTATTTTGAAGAGCTTGGTAGACAATTTCAGTGATGGCCGTAAGCACATCAGCTGTAGATCGGGCAAAGCGGAAGCCATATTGCTTGTCTGAGAGAAGATCATGGGATGTAAGTTGGTTAACCACTTTGGTATTGATTAGGGATTCGAAGACTTTGCCGAAGACGGATAGGAGACTGATAGGACGGAGTTCTTGAAGACAGGAACAATCGAAGAGGACTTCTAGCAGTCATGAAAACAAGATTCCTTGAGGCAGTAGTTATATAGTCTAGAGAGGGCGGACGCCAGTTCAGGCGCGCATTTCTTTAAGACAATGGCTGGTATCCCATCTCCACCACTAGCCTTGTTGGGATCTAAATTGGAGATAATGCCCAATACCAAAGATGGGGTTATGTTTAACCCACTCAATAGGGCCTCAGTTCTAAGAGGGAAGTCGGGCATATGTACACTGGAAGAGTCGAGCGTTGAGTTGAATGAAAATTTCCGAGCAAAGCATTCAGCCTTGTCGGCAGAGGAGGTCAGGACTTCGGTTTGGTTGAACAAAGGAGGTATAGAGGGTTTGCAATTGTTCAATACGCTCTTGCAGAGATGCCAATAATCTTTGAAGCCAAATTTGTGAGATGCAATACGCTCCTTCATCCGAGCAGCAAATAGTGACTTAGTGTCGTTGAGGACACGCTTACACTCGTTACGGGTGGAGGCAAAGAGACGTCTATTGCAGTCAGATATGTTGCTACGAAATAGGTGAAAGAAGTGGTTCCTATGGGCAATGGTGGCAGAGCAAGCAGTGGAGAACCAAGGGGAGGAGCGCGACTTGACCCTATATATCCTTGAGGGGATGAAAGCGCCGATTCCAGCTTTAACCCAGGATGAGACCTCAGAAGCACATTCTTGGACGGGGAGCGTAAAGACAACATCCCAGGGGACATCGCGGAGGAAATCACGGAACGAGTCCCAGTCAGCTCGTTGATAGTAGAAGTGAAGTTCTAGTGGTAGGAGGTTCTTTGCAGCGGGTGGAGTTGAAGGAGATTTTAACAGATGCTACAGCATGATCAGAGTTACAAAGAGGGCAGAGTTGCGTGGCGCTACAAGACTCGGGGATGGAGCTAAAACAGATCGATAAGAGATGCTTTACCTTCCCGGTTGAAAGCAAGACGAGTGGGAAAGTTAACTATCTGCGTGAGGGATTGAGAGACTGGAAAATTAAGTGTTTGAATGCCTGCGTTGTCAGTAGTAGCATTCTTAAGCCACTTGGTATGATGGGCGTTAAAGTCACCAAACACAAATATGTGAGTTATTGAAAATTACTAATGAACTTATTCAACAGCACTAACTAAATGCCCCAAATATTATCTGTAAAATAAAATAACATAATAAACAACGTACTTCCAATCGAAACATACAGACATGATGACGCTTGACGACAACTGAAAGCGCTCGGCAAAACACAAAGGACTGGGGTCATTTTTCTTTTTCCAAGAACTTAAACCCAAATATAAAAAAAAAAAAAAAACTTGCGAGAAAGCAAAAATAAAAAGCAGACAAAAAGATTATTAAAAGGAAAAGAAAAGTAGTCTTTAACTCTCTCTCTCACACATACACACACACATATATATATCCTCGTATATATATACTCTAGGACAAAATCTTGGGACCAGCTTCGAGATTTCGGAGAGTCGACTAAATGTTGAAGGTTGCTTTTTTCAAAACTAATTTACTACCTCATTTTGGACCAGAGGGGCTTTCTCTCCCTAATCAACAATAATACTGATAATTACTGAATAAAGTTTATTTAAAATGTTAACTCATTTTGCCTAATCTACCTTGTTGGCTAATGGTATCCTTAGGGTTGGCGGATTTTAAATTTTAATTAATCTCCTCTCCAAAAAATGAAGGCCATGTATAAATGGATTACATAATTTCATCATCCGCGCTTGAATTAACTGAACGAAATAAGGAATTATATTTTCTAGTTATAAAATCTAGAGGTTGGTCCAAAACGTTTTGCCTATTGTGTCTATATACCGAGTGCTTGGGCACCTCGACGTGATGTCATGGTTCGAAAGATTGTCTTGCTAGATCAATTACGACTGAGTATTGAGTTCGATCCTCACTGGGTGTCCAATACTTTCGGCCTTGTGCCACATCTAAGCCGGGCTTAGAAAATTACTATATACCGGGTGACGTGGAAAGAAACTCCATACTGAAAATTATTTATAACTTTTTTTTAATATCAACACATTCGCATGAAGTAAAATGTATTGCGACCCCCCCTAAAGTGGTAGAATTTCATTGGTAATTTCTGTTTTTATTTCAGCTTGACAAGTGTAGCCCAGAATAGCACAATGACTGACAGTTCATGAGAGTGTTCAACTATCAAACCTTTACGAAGTGTGGCAGTCCGTTGTACAATTGCAGGGATGATGGTGCCGTGTTTGCCGACCTCGTGTTTCAATAGAGGAGAAAACCATTAGGAATTGTCTTCTCAAGCAGGTAAGCATAGGATTTCTGGGAGATACCGACGGAAGCGGACATTCTTCAACATTCAGAATGGAAGAAAATCGGCTAAGGTAGAATATTAAATATGTTTTATGAAAATCAGCCAAAGTAATTAACAATTTTAAATTGCGAGTTTTAATTCCGCCCACTATATGAGGTAACCAAAAAACATCTTACCGTTTTTTTATGTTATGTAGGAAGAAGTGATCACTGATAAGTAAACGCGTGTGTCATGTGCCTGGAAAGCAGTGGTGGTGAGATATTTTGACATTGCTCTTGACCAATACAGGTGCGTTGCGCACACTTATCAGTAATAGTTCGAGCAGCGGCGAGGAAACATGGTGGTGTCGAAGCAGCTCGTTCGGGGTTGTTTGCTTCATGCCAATGATTCTCAACATGGGGCGCATGCCCCACCGGTGTAGCATGGCAATATTTTAGTGGGTCATGCGTAGGATGTGCACACTTCGGCTTACTATACCAAAAGAATAAGGAGGCAATTCGAGAATGAGTTATTAACAGTGAATTGTTTTCTAATGAGCTCAAATTTCATTTTGCATTATTAATTCATAATTAAAATGATCAAATTATATTACAGAATAAACTTTCATTCAAATATTTTATATTTCTGCCTTTCAGTTCTTTATTATATGTTTTGAAACTATATATATTTAACTGTCTTTTTCGTTTTTTTTAAAATTTTCTCTTTCATGGACGCCATTGTCTTTGGAGGCTCGTTTAGAGACTAAGTTAATGGCCAGTTAAGCTTTCTTCACGTGGATTGCGGTAAAGTTTTGAATAATAATATAAATGATAGTACTCGTTTGAAAAAAACCTCGGATAGCTCAACTTGAAATCTAGGTAGGTTTGCCTGGCTCCTTGGGATTACTCTAATAAAATTTTGAATATATAAGAATTAAATATTACAGAGTGGGGGGAGGGGCGCCAGAATTTTAGAAATATCAAAGTGGGGTATGGCCTAAAATCGGCTGTGAACCACGGCTTTATCCATTTAAAGTGAGTTTGTCTACGGCCGCATGATGTCCCCGAATACGTCAAGACATTAGTGCTAATGCAGTGAGTGATCGCACTGGCAGGCATTAGTTACAAAAGTTCAGGTCGGGAGATCATCTGTTTGTAATGAACTACCCAGTGGTCGGCAACAGGTTCTAGATGATGAGGCCCTGAAGACAATCATACAGGAGGACAACAGCCAAATATGTGGTGAGCTTGTTGAATGTTTCCAGGTTTCTGATGAAACAGTTCACTTGCACCGTATAGGGAAGGCGTACAAGTTGAGAAAGTGGGTGCTTCATAGAGTGTTGGCAGCCAACAAGCAAAAACGAGTGGAAGTTTGTTTCTTGTTGCTTTCTCGGGATCTATATTTGATCGCCTACTCATCGGTGACGAAAAGTGTGTCCTGTGACACTCTCAAACCTGCTAGGCATTAATTGTCACCACGGGAAGCTGCGTCTCACACGACAAGACCACTCCTACACCCACGCAACATCATGTTCTATATCTGGTTAGGGACAAGGGGTGCATTATGAATTGCTCCCAAGGAGGTAAATCCTAACAGCGGACCTGTACTCGCGGTAGTTGAAACATTGTGCAACAGACACCGAAGCAGGAGATAGCATTCGTTAATCACACATTGTTCGTCCTTGGCAATTCCAGGCTCCTTGTAGCATAGGTGGCCAGGGATACCATACGGCAACTTGGCTGGGAAACACTGTACTATCTACCTTACTCCTACGATGTAGCGCTAACAGATTATAACCTCTTCCATTCCCTTGACAACCACCTTCGTGGGAAATCCTTCGCTGATGAGACAGACTTTCAGCAGCCACTCACAGACTTTTTTACATCTAAAAAACATGATTTTTTTTTCTGCCAGGAAATTGCACACCTGGAGTCACGTTACCAAAAGCGCTCTGGATATCGATGGGGGATTACTTTCAAGTGTAACTGTATGTAAAATTTTCTGTAAACTTTTTTTTCTAATAAATCTAAAATGTCAAGTATTTTTTGGTTACTGTATATATACATATATACATATATATATTGTGTGTATTTAGGCAGCATTTTTTCATTGATGTATGTTTCATTAAAGAATATAGACAAGTTTTGTCTATTTATTTGAAATAAATTCCTTTCATATTGTCTGATAATCTTAATAACATTATCATTGAAAGATGAAAGAAAAACACCATGTTGAAACCTAACCGGAACAAAATAAAATATTAAATCTCCACAAATATTCTTAAATGCCTATAATTGGTAACAGAAGCCATTGGTTTATACCAACGGCTTCCCATACTTAATACTTCTCGTTTTCACTCTCGCGTGGTCATATGTGATGTCATGAGTTGCGGTGCAATTTTCGCTTCCAGCGTCTTATATGCACGAGTTTGTCGTTGTTTGGAAATCTTTCATGCAACAAAAACAGAATATCATTATTGTTTTGTCCGTGTATTGTTTAATATATTGAAATGTAATTGTCTTCTTTGATAATGGCTTATGTTAGCCGAAAGCTTAGATAGCATTAAAAAACATGTATCAATATGGTGATTTTCTTTCATCTTTCAATGATAATGTTATTTAGCTTATCCGACAATATGAAAGGAATTTACTTAAAATAGACGAAACATGTCTATATTATTTAATGATATATATATATATATATATATATATATATATATATATATATATATATATATATATATATTAGCTGTGCAGCAAGTTTTCTTTTGTTTTTTATGGTAGATCGCAGCCGATTACGCGGATTCTGCTGATAGTAAATGATTTAGACTGAACCGTTACGTTGTATCAGTCTTTCATATGATCGTAACTTCTGAACTATCTCCACAGATGAAGAGGAGACTTGAAGCAACAGAAATTTGGTTCTACAGAAGGATGCTGAGAATACCATAGACAAAATATGAGCAACGACAAAGTTTTAGTGAAAACGGAAGCAAAAAGGAAACTTATATTTAACACCCGGAATAGAGTTGAAATTTCTAGGGCATATAATGTGGAAAGAAGGCTCAGAAAATCTTATACTCACAGGACAGATTGAAGGCAAGAGGGAAAGAGGAAAACAGCGTAGAACCTACCAAGCGAGCCTGAGTTCGTCAATGCCGGAGAAAGTTTAAAGAAATAAGAAAAAGCTAAGATTTATTCAGAGCGGGAGAAACAGAAGGGACATGTAGAGAGCCATGATCGCTAACGTCCTGAAGGGACACGGAATAAAGAAGAAGAAGAAGAAGAAGAAGAAGAAGAAGAAGAAGAAGAAGAAGAAGAAGAAGAAGAAGAAATTATTTAGCATCAACCGACAAAAAATATAATCAGACCAAATGAAATCCACATTTATAAAGTCGACTGCAAAATTCTCTGGTTGCAAACGAATGTATTATCTGTCATATCGCAAGCCAGGTTTGACTAATTGATACACATTTCCAGCGCCAGTGCGTGAAAGGCATGACTAATTGATAAACGGTGACTGGTGTAGCATTTCATATTCGGGCTTTGATGAATACCGGTTTCTTGCAATGGTAGCAGAAAGCTAGCAACTCTGGAGGCAGGAACCCACCGAACCGAATTGCTCAAGAGACGTTAAAAAAAGCCTCTGTTACGCTCGATCTTAAATATCTTGTTTTCCTATCATTTTACGCTATTTTTTTACATGCGTTTGTTATTTTGCACCAACTGAAATTCTGAATAATTTAACGTTAATCAGAAACATGTTTATAAAACAAAATGCAAACGCATTTACTCTTTTGTAAATAGTATACATATCCATTGTCAGGGCCGACTGAAAAGACTGCAGTTTTACTGCCGGTAATAGCGCTTGAACTAAAGAAAATCCAATTCCATGAAAATTGGCGCAACATAATCCTCCTCTGTCCACCTACATTTCATCTAGTTCTTTACTATAGTAAATTATTTTTTTATCAAGTTGCACCTATGTAAGCATCTCCGTGTCTTTGTGTCCTCTCAGACTGACATTTTCTGCCGACATGAAGTGAAAAGATTATGTTGAATTATTTGCTAAGTATGCAGCTAAGAAAGTTGGTTCACTGTGTCATGCTAGGCAAATTTTCCCGCCAGAATCTATCTTACATATGTATAAGTCTACCATTTGTCCTGGTCTGGTGCTTCTGCTATATATTTAGAGATTCTTGATAAAATCCAAAGAAGAATCTATCTTACATATTTATAAGTCTACCATTCATCTTTCCTTTGAATATTGCTGCCACATCTGGTCTGATGCTTCTGCTATATATTTAGAGATTCTTGATAAAATCCAAACAATCTATTTTACATATTTATAAGTCTACCATTCATCTTTGCTTTGAATATTGATGACACATCTGGACTGGTGCTTCTGCTATATATTTAGAGATTCTTGATAAAATCCAAAGAAGAATCTATCTTCTATATTTATAAGTCGACCATTCATCTTTGCTTTGAATATTGATGACACATCTGGTCCAGTGCTTCTGTTATAGACTTAGACATTCTTGATAAAATCAAAAAAAGAATCAACAATGTTATTGGTCCTGACCTGGCATCTCAGTTTCTGTCACTTTCCCATTTTGCTTCCCTCTGCCTTTTCTATAAATACTTTCATGATAATTGTTCTGATGAACTTTCTTCTATGGTACCAAGACTTTACGAATTTAAGCGCAGTACTTGATTGGCTGAAAGGTCTCATTCGTTTACAGTTAAATTGATTAGATGTAACTATATCTTCTGTTCTAACAATTTTTCTCACCAGAATCTATCTTACATATTTATAAGTCTATTATTTGTCCTTACTTTAAATATTGCTACCACATCTCCTGCTATATATTTAGAGATACTTGATAAAATCCAAAGAAGAATCTGCGTTATCAGTCCTGACCTGGCATCTCAGTTTCATTCTTTTTGCTCCCGTTGTAACATAGCTTCCCTGTGCCTTTTCTATAAATACTTTCATTGTAATTGCTCTTATAAACTTTCACTATATTACCTACAGTTTATTAATTCAAGTGCCGTACTAGACTGGCGCTACGGTCTCATCATTTTACAGTTGAAATGGCTAGAGTTTCAAGCCAATCCATTCATTTATTTAGAAGTTGCTTTGTTTACGTTACGGCATGAAACCAAGCAGATATGTATATTTCGAGTGCCAGAGGAAAATCTCTGCTTAAAGGCACTATTCAACTTTGCCTGGTGACCGCCGCACTCCGTGGCAGAGAGGTCCAAAGCACGTCAGATCCAGTGGCGTTTTCTCTAGCTGAACGCGGGTTCGAATCCTGCCGGAGATCGCTTAATTTTTTCTCTAGTTTGATTTCTCGAATAATCAGACCGGTAGACGAAAATAAATAAATATACCGTTTAATAGACGGTGTGCTTACTTACATAACAGTATCCACAAAAACAACGTTTAAGTAAAAAGAAATCTGTCTGATTAGTAAATGAATAACTCATCCTTTAAACACACACACACATATATATATATATTATAATGATAATCGACTCTCCCGTCGAGATTTGACGCATGAGGGTGCAGCAGATCAGTTTCCAGGAAACCGACAACCCGACAACGGCACATGAGATTTGATTATAGTGGTGAAGGCCTCGTGCAGGACCATCCACACTTTTTGAAGGGACGAATACAGAGACGTGGTGCACCGAATGCCACAAGGACCACAAACGACCCTCCGCAGGTTTTGAATTCAGAAATGTCCTCTATTTATTTTATAGCTAAATACACATATATATATATATATATATATATATATATATATATATATATATATATATATATATATATATATATATTGTGTATTTAGGCAGAAATCCATCATTTATACATGTTTTATTAAAGACGACAGACAAGGTACTACGATTAAGCTTTTTATTTAATTTTTCTTGTGTTCAAACAAGTGTTTTCAGAGTGTGTTGAAATTGTCCAAATGTTCTATAATTCCTTGTGCTTTTGGTTATACTTTTAGCCATTATCTAGAATAATTTTATTTTTCAATTTAATTGGGTGTTTGGGTTGTGCGTAGTGTTATAGACATGTTTTATTTTGAGAACACATTTAGCACATTGTGGCCGTGTTCGTAGTTAATATTATTAAGTGCTGTCTTCCATTATTTCTAATCTTTTTTTACATGTGAATGAGCTTCTTATATTTGTATTTTCTACTAGTATGTGTCAGATGGAGTCTGGTAAGTTTGTGTGTTTTTTTAAATGACTCCTAATTGAGCTGTGGTCAGATAAGTGTTAAAGTAAGGCGTTTGGATAGACATGCAGTCGTATGACTGATGTATGTCCAAAAAAGAAAACACTTGTTCGAACACAAGAAAAATTAAATATCTAATGCTAATATATCAGTGCACAGCACATAGCAATCCAAACTCAACGAGGTGGGAATTCCTATTAAAAAGGCAAGATGGAAATTTCATATAACAATTACCATCTACCTTGATGATTGCGTGAAAATAAAAAGTCGTTGCCTACCAATCTTCACCTGGAATTTAATTGGTAATATTATGTCTCTGCCATTTCATATGGCATTGGACCCTCTTTTTTCGCTGAGCCTCTGCTGCTACTCCCTTAGGTGTTGATTACTTTATATTTTATTTAAATTATAAAACAGTAGCCGTCACCATCATTAACGAATCGATCACTGTGTTATTTACACCCTTATACAATACGCTAGAATTTCTCTTTCTCTCTGTCGGACACAGATAGCCTAGGGGTAGAATCTCCAACTTTCAAACCCGGATGTCTAGTCACACGGATTCAATTCTACAATCTACATTCGATATCATCACTTGATAAGACACCAGAGGTATTGAAACAAAATAGCTCTCTCTCTCTCTCTCTCTCTCTATATATATATATATATATATATATATATATATATATATATATATTAATCATTGCATACATATTAAGAAATTCCTCCTAAACATATATGAGGCTGGAAAAAAAAAAGTATAATTCAATTAACTGATTCATTTATTCTCTTCCACTTGCTGCTGCAGCTTCTTCCACTTGCTGCTGCAGCTTCTTCTTCTTCTTCTTCTTCTTCTTCTTCTTCTTCGCATCCTCCTCCTCCCTTTCCGTTGCACCTAACGTCATGCATTTGTTTATTTAAAAAATAATATATCGTTTATTAGTTTTTTTGTTTTGTTTTTTTAAGAAAGCATTAAGAGGTCATTTGATTAAAATCGCCTGATGATAACGTAAACGACAAAAACAAGTTGTGTATTTGTATTTTTGTTTATGTACATAGGCAAAAAATACACACGCGTAATTCATTGTGCATACACACACACACACACACACACACACAAAAGACACACGCAACTCTCTTAGTCGTTTTCAATCTGATGAAGCCTACATTCCGAAATGAATAATCGGTTATTTTCGAATACAATATGCTTTCATGAACGTTTTACCACTTGTCAATAATTTATTACTCTGCCAGAATCATATATCCACTATTATAATATATATATATATATATATATATATATATATATATATATATATATATATATATATATATATAAGGCAGAATAGTGCAATGGCTTTTACGGCTCTTTTAACATCGGGTACGATGAGGTTATCCCATCCCTCCTCTCAGAGGGGGATTTGTTTTTAAAGTCATCTTCTTCTAGTCTTTGCTTAAAGAAGCAGAAGCTACAAGTCAACATGTGGTTTGAATTCAAAGTTTCCTTCTTCAAAGCTGGTTGCGACCAAGGCTATAGGACCTTGTCTGCCCTGTTAATTTATCCATAGATGGATACACACCAATACACACACACACACACATACACACACATATATATATGTATGTGTGTGTATGTTATATAAATGAATATATTTTAAACAAATATAAATGCGAATGAACAAACAAAAAAGACGCTGGATTTTTATCTAAAAGAAACAGCGAATATTGTTTTAATTTTACATAAGTTCACAGGATTTTGAAAACGGTTTTGAAAAGCAAGAATCAGAAACTTTAGCACACAGCTAATAAAAGAAAAGATTTTTATTATGCTGGATAATTCTACTTGCAAATGTAATAAATACGTCGGTTTTAAAAAGACATTCTCGGTCGATTTTAACAGCTTTCGTAATGCCAGCGCGATCAACGATTAATCAAGTTATGGCGGAAAGACAAATGTGTCTTAAATGTTTATGTGTAACACAATCTCATGATAAATCAAGTGATGTGTAATTTTGTTATGAAGCCAAGATTATATTCCGAAAAACGAATTAAACCTTTAAGTGTCCCGTGACATTTATAATGAATAAAACATT